TATATATATATGTATAATATATATATGTTTACATATATTTATATTAATATATTATATATTTATACAATTTTATAACATATGTATACGTACGTAATATATATTATATAAAATATAATAAATTATTATATAATATTATTATTATAATATAATATATATATAATATAATTATTATTATTATATTATATAATATATAATAGATTATATATAATATAATATATTATATATATATAATATATTTATTTATATACATAAAATCTATTTCTAAAGTATATATCTTATTAATTTATAAAATTAATAAGATGGTACGATAAATAATTAACCCTTGCACGAAGTTTGTATACCGTTGTGAATAAGTAATATTGGGTCAAATTGACCCAGTGCGGGAAATAAGATAAGTTCTAACAGTTAAACGAACCGACTTATTTCTCGCACTGAGTCAATTTGACCCAATATTACTTATTCACAACAGTATACAAACTTCGTGCAAGGGTCAATTATTTATCGTTCCATCTTATTAATTTTTCACCGTTGCGTCACTTTGATATTAAAGGATACACGAGGCTGTAGAAATGGGGGACAGATGCGGGCGGCTAAACAGAGTATCGCCTGTCGAACACACGCATCTTCAGACAGATGTAAGTGATACGATCGACAAGGATTATTGCGAGAATGGTTAAGAGATGCGGACTAAACATTTCATGCCTCACAAGCTACGCGCAGATTGAGAAGTATGCAGAATTGATTTCCGTGAGAACGAAATTACAAAGAAAAAGGTCTCACTGTCGGTTTCTTATTTCTTCCGATCCTGCGGAATGAAAAGGAACACGGTTATTAAAATATAAACTCTAATGTAAATTCCGATCTAATTGATAATATGAAAAGTCTATCCTTAAAGAATATAAATTTCTAATAATAACAGTGAAACACTGAATGAAAAATGTAAAGTAGGATTTTGATGTTCCAAGTATCGAGAAAAATAATTCCTGGCATTTCGTTGTCGTGTCCGATCACGACTCGGCGATTCCACATTTTGTGACTACAATACTAATTGCCTAATGGCCTGGCGGATATTTGAGGCCGATTTTATCGGAAACGGAACTCGCCCGAAAAAATGGTACAGCATACTTTCGATTTGTTTTTCGACGAACAAATACCCCTTTTCTAACTGCAGCGCCAGATCGAAAATATCCCGCATGTTCGACGACTTTTCGCATTAGATTTCCTTGAAAACGAAACCGCGAAGGAAGCATACAGGGCGATTCATAAAAGCGAGTAAAAGAACGTCATTTGAACCTCGAGTTCGATATTTATTAGTTTGCGAATTATAACTAGACCTTGAATTTTATGCATTAATAACCAAAATGAAAAGATGGAGCAACAAACAGAAGAAAGATCAGAGATA